CTCTCTCTCACACCTCTCTCTCTCTCTCTCTCTCTCTCTCTCTCCAAGTATCGAAAATTTATTCAACACCCGTGACGTGATCGATTTTCATTAAGTCGATCGGTCGTGCAGACCAGAAGATACAATGCGCGTTGAAAAATTAACGTCTAATGACCCGTTCCGAGCCTTTTTTATATCCGGGATCGTAAACCTTTGTAAAACTCAGTGCAGTAACGTTGACTATTGAATAAAAGGTGAGTGCAATAAAATGGAATAAAAAGAAACGAAATGAACGAGAGAAGAAAGAAGAAAGAAAGACGCGACACTCGGTCTAAAAAAAAATGGGATCGAGTTACGTTATTAAAGGAAAAGAAAGAAACCTATAAAAGTTTGTGCGCGGCTTATCTTCTCGCTCTACGTTTGAACGAGCGAGAAGTTTTTCGCACGCGGTTCGAGAATTTAGATAACACGAATAAAAAAGTATTACGAATGTAAGTACGTTTCTACAAGTAGCTACATATATTTCTAGGTATCGTTGTCGGGGGAGAAAAATTTTTACGATCGCTAAATTCGGGTAAATGCTCGGTAAAGAATTTTCCTTCGAAAACCTCTTTCATTGCTGCTATTATGAATGTAGTTAACGCTTATCGGTTGTTATTTTTAATAATTTATGTAAAAAATGTGGGAACACCGGTTAATTGGAGATTCCTCGGGTAATTTCAAGCAACATTTTCCTTTGCAAAAACTTTCGTTACGACTTTCTTAACGAGTTATTAACAAAAAAACACTGGCCAATCACGTAGACCAGTCGAGCCGCGACGGTAGCGTTGGGTATGTGTGTCGTTCGAACATGAACAAATCCGAGAAACATATGTCGAAGAAAGGATTCAAATTGTTATAAATCGAATTTATTCGTCGTTCAAGTAAAATTATGTCCAATTGTAGTATAAAAATATAAAACTACCTATCTAACAAATGAACGATAAATAATATGTATTTAGAAAGGGGAGAAAGAGGAGAGTGATAAAAAAGAAAAGGAAATTACTTGTACTTGTTCGTGCTCGTGCTAATGACGTGCCCAATATCATTATCGCGATTTAATTAGTTCATTAGTGATTGACCAGAATTAATAATATTCGTTAATTCGTAAAAATTTTTGCAAAGGAAAATCCTGCTTAAAATTAGCTCAGGAATTTCCAGTTAATCGGTGCTCGCAATATTTTTGGGACAATCTGTATATCGATGTGCACCGGTATACCCAATGGGAGTCTTTAAATTTCGATGGCATGCGTTGGAAATATTTTCCAATACAGTGAGAAATAACTTTGGGGCCAAATAGTATGCAATTCCATGCGAATAAAATTTCGTGGAAATTGTATAACCATATTTTCTTATTTATCGTTTTATCGGATTATTTGTACACTAATTTTTCTAACAAACGAAACATATAGGTTTTTATATATACATACATACACCCAGATATCGTTTCAATTAATATATCTCAATCTCATAAGAAGAAGAATTTCATTAAAAGTGTTATGTTCGTTAATTCATTGATATATCTATCTTTAACGTATGGATACTGTAACATTACAAGATTGTTACGTCAAAAAATCGGTGGAAAAAGTTATCGACCCGTAAACTTATAAGGCGATACAAGGCATATCAATCAACTTTTTCATTCATTCTGCCCCCTCCCCCCCAGATTTAAAAAAACCTTGCACCGCGGTTGCATCAATCACGCGCATATGTTATATAAAGTAAAGTGCAACTACTGGATTTCTTCCCCCTGGAATTTTTGCAGGAATAATTTCCGGAGAGGATGCTCATTACCATAACCTATTATTTAAAACACTTTTTACGCCGTTTGTGGCGATACTTCAAATTTCATCGAATATATACTTTTTCAAAAGTGACAAGGCACTTCGCCTTTCGTATGCTAATGCGAATAAATAGCGGATCCATTGTTCGAAAAATCGTAAGAAACACGCGAAAAACGCGTTGCAAAATCATGGAAATCCTCGAGATTAATGTAACGAATAAAGTAGTTTCACGTCCGAACTATGTCATCCGATCTTGTTACTTGGTCTCGTTTTAACGAACCCGTATTCTGATTATCGGTCGTTACTTCCACTCTGTGTTACGTTATATACGCGTTTACGTCTATCACAGACATGTAAGGTCGACCAGGAAAAAAGTTATCTTCTTTTCTACGAATTATCAAATGTAACACAAGTGTTTCTGTTTTTTAATTCGATTATCTTGATATCAGAATTATCGATGATATTAGATTTTGCAAGATTTTTAAGTGGAAAAGTTGATAAATTTTCTTTTGAATTTAAATTACTAGATTGCCAGATAATAATTTTACTAGTTAAATAAATAAAACATTAATCCATCCTAACAAATTATTCTACTCCACGGAACACGAGTTAAATATATTCCAACTTCATTCCAAAAATCGAATCTTATCGCTTTCCTCAACGATATTTCTTAAATCCTCAAAGACCAAACTACTCGAAATCCCTATTAAAATTCAATCAAGAAGACCATTTTCCCCATAGCGCGCAACTCACCGAACAATCGCCACTGCTCCATTACCAACTTTAATAACCGTCTTAAAACGTCCAAGCGTGATTCTCTAACCGAATCGCAGTGGCATCTTCCCTCGTCTAACGCTAACTTTCCATTTCCTCGAAACCGTCGTCGTTTCCATCTGATTCTATCTCTCGAGTGGGTCTCGAGGAACACGTCGATCCGGAGCGCGAGGAGGCGCGGTTAATTTAAGACGATCGAGAGACATCCGCGGAATTCTCAAGCGAAACGCTCGATTTGTCCGCCCTGTGTATTCCTATCCTACGTGTCACGAGCCTGTACATACGTATAACCGATCGGTGGTGACAGAACGAAGAGGGAGAGAGAGAGGGAGGGAGAGAGGGGGGAGAAGAAATGGAAGGGAGCGAGAGATAGTGATAGAAATAGAGATAGAGACGAAAGAGAGGAATAGGGATAAAGATAGAGGGACGAAAGAGAGAGAGATACAGAGAAAGATGAGAAAGAAAGAGAGAGAGAGAGAGAAAGAGAATGCGTCGTAATCTAAGAATAGAGAGTATAGGATGGGCCGCGTTGCTCGAGAGGTGATTTCGATTCGAATTTTCGCCATTCATTCGAGTCGTATCGAGAACTATTAGAGGCGAAATAGGAAGGCTTCGATGGAATCGTGAGAACGGGGATGAGGATTATCTGGAGGCTGTTCGCTCCTTGCTGCCGATTTCACGCGCCAGCGTTAAGACGGATTTAAAGGGTGGCGAGGAGAAATCGGTTTCGAGGATCCGATCGAGCCGCGTTTAACGTTAATACGTGCGATTTGACCGAGGGATCGCTTTTCGTTCGATCATCGCAATACCGAGAATTTTTCTAAGGAAATGGAATGTTTCCGGTTTCGATACGGATTCCTGATGAAGATTGAGAAATTTTTTTGATTAAGAGCGAAAGCTCGATGCGAGGATTTCATTTTAATTGTGATTAAATTTAATTGCAGTTATTTTAGTGTCGAAGATTCACGTTCATTACTTTATATTATTTATATTATTTTGATTATTTATTAATAAATATAATAATTTTTTTTTAAATAAAATAGAGAATGTAAATTATTAAAAAAGGAAATTCTTGAATTCAAAGATTTAGAAAAATTAATTAAAATAGTTCTTTAATGATTTAATAATTTATATAATTATTTTTATTATTTATATATAAAAAATTTGTTTAAGATTTCCGGAAAAGAGTTCCAAAAAAAAATGGAAAAAAAATAATAAAAATTTTGATAAACACGTTTATTCGTTTCCGAATGAAAATAAAATTGTATCATGATCGTTCCATTTTAAGTATTTTAAATCGAGTTCTCGACATTTATCTTTGTTGGCTGGCCATTAAAAAGAGAAAATGATTTAAGGAAATCTGGTGCACGGAAAATTACAAAAATCAATCGTTGTTCGAGCATTAAAAGACGTACAAACAATGAGGTTATTTTGTAAAGAAATGCTATTTCAAATATGCATACATTTAAAATACTATGTATCGATAAACATAAAATATAACGCTTTGTAAACTACAACACTACAAATATGATAAGTTTGAAAAAAATAATTAATATTCTACGTATGACTAAATATTGACTATAGAATTTTGTATCCTATTTCTCGTAAATAACAGAGAATGTTTATACGATTGAAGTAAACTGTTTGTTAATAAGAACAATTAGAGATTAATCATATTAATTTATTTCATAGTGAATACTTGACCTTATCTCGTATCTATACGCAAGATAGTTCAACCTTCGACAACAATCAAGCAAACGATGAAACGAAGGCCAGAGATATAAACGTGTGTATCATAAAACAAATGTAAATAAAGATATAAATAGTAAGTTTTGTCACTTACGAATGATGAAAATACGAACATCACGTTTGTTCGATAATTTCGATGATCAACTGATGCATTTGGTTGCACAGCAGTCGACTGTACTTGGCAGTTTCAATGTATTTGTGGCCCATTCCCTGAATTCTCCTGATTTCTGGTCTCACACACGCACACACTACAGCCGCGGGCGATCGCAATTTAACTCTGTCACAGTTCACTTCGGACAAAGAGATTCCTCGGAACTTGAATAGCAAGAATCCGAAAGGGACTCGCGAACGCAATGAAAACGTGTCAAGAAAGACGTTAGACCTCTTTTTCTTCTCTATCTCTCTATTATGGTTAGACAAAAGAAATTAGGGATGGTCAGACCACGATATTTTTCACGAACAACGTGACATCACCACGATTCAAACACAATCGACTCTCTACTTCACTTGAAATCACGCGTAAATTAAGACACTTGTCGAATTCGAAACGACGACGATGGACGTTGAACGTACACTCACCGGCAATTAATTCGATGATCATCACTCGAATTTCAAACAGTCAACTGTCCTCGAGACGGTTCGATTCTCGAATCGTAGTTCGTCGATTCGACGCGAGCGTCCAATCTCCAATCGCTACATCGATGATCGCGCACGTTCGATCTGCTTGGCAGAAAAAACTATTGCTTGACGTTCGTAAATCTACGAGTCAAATCGATACGCGACAAAGTTCCGACAACACTCCACGATACAGGTTACTTCGAATGTTACCTCTTGAATTTTTGCACGGATTCAAATGTTTCTCGATCGACGGTACAATGCGACAACGCACGAAAATCGTGTCTCATGCTGCGTCATACGATAGCTCGCGACGTATGTAACTATCACTCATGTCGTAAACTTTACTCTGTCGTTTGAAAATTTTACTTGCGATACGATGCGATTAGTGGTGGTCAAGAGAGGGAAAGAAGAGAAAGAGAGAGAGAAAATAAACGCGAAAACGTGTCGTGTCGCTGAGGCGCGAAGTTAAACGCAGCAGGTGCAAAGGGAGAGAAGTAAGCCGAAGTTGCGCGCGCATCCACACAGTACGACACGGCTCGCGGCTCGCGAGAAACTGCCGGCTGCACGTTAACGCGATACCCGACCGCCCCTTTCAAGCCGAGGATCTGGCGCAGGTACCATCCCTTTTCTTGCCCCCACTATACGTATATCCCATGCTCTACACCCTCGCCACTTTCGACGTTTCGACGCGCATCCCCTTTCGAACTTATCCCGGACCTGGATAGGACCAATCGAAATCCCCTACCTTTTGTGTCACCTGCAACCTCTCCCGCCTTCATTATTAGCTCGCCTACCAATTTTCCCTTTGTTTTATCAAAGTGTCGATTTATTCAACGAATTTCCCTTTTCTCGTTTACTTGTATCGATGATTTTGATGGAGTTTCATTTTGTGAGTAACAGTTTTTGTTTTCGAATCACGCAGGGATTTGTGGAACGCGACAAAGAGGTTAGGATGCAATTGGATGCCTGAAAGATTATATTATACATGGCTACGAGGGACGAGACGCTACCGGTGAGTAATTTAACGATGAAAGCAAAACATTGTAGAACATTTTTTATCATATTTTGTACGTCGTTTTATTCATGCGTATTATTCATCGTGCAAATTATGACAAATATTGTCAATCCGTATTTTCATCCATATTATTCATGGAAAATTATAATTATAATATTCCGAAATCGGTATGATGAAATTCAGAGAAAAGCAAAACTCGTTTTTAAAATTAGGACGGTCGTTTGTTAAATCGTGAAAATCATCTACGAAATCCTTCGATATGACGAAGCAACCATTTCACAAGCAAAACATCAAGAAAACGTCTCATTTATTTCAAGCTTATCTATCTGACCCGATTATGAGGCTTTCACATTTTATTCTTATCCCTTTGTACTGTCACTTCTGTAAGTCATCACGTTAGTCCTTCTATCCTATAACTCTATTAATTTCCTCGATAATACAAGAAATCAAAGAGCATCTTTTATAACGAGGTTATGATGCACGGTTACCAATGCAACTCGCATTCATGTCTGAAGTATCAAAGCTTGTAATTCTCGCGTTTGACTAATAAATGGGACAATATCAAATCGTTGCAAACATGTAATCATTGCAAGCAAGATTCAGAATGATATTAATCCACGTACAAAGGTGCGACTAATAATTAATCAAAATTATTGTGGACACGATGGAAAACGGAAAGGACAAACGTTCTCCAGCTATTTCCGGCTTATTATTGCAATTCATCTGTCCGATATCCAGCCCAAGATTTATTCCGCGTCTTTCACGAAGCTCGGCTTCTTTTGCCTCTGCCCAACCGTACACAACCGGATCTACTTCTCTCTTTGCTCAAACCACGCGTTTATCCGGCTGTCTGCTAGCTCGATTTGCGCACAAAAGGCCAGAACAATAAGGGCATCCTGACGCTTATACGTTAAGATTTGGCTTCGCGCCTAACGAATTTACATCAAGGT